CACTCATAATTTATTATTATTATCCTTAATAATCAGAATATATCCACTCTTTGACAGGCATCAGATGCTAAACGAATTAAATAACCCCCCAAATATATAACAAAACAACCAATGGATAAAAGAGATATTAGTATACCCACTTGGAATGCCAATGTTATTCTCTAAAAACACACTGATGTCCAAGTTTTCTTGGAGTCTTACATTATATTCAGAGGATACAACTTCCATCACACTATCCACCCATCAAATGCAGCAAGAGGAGGAAGTACGTTAATTATGAGGAACCAGGATTCCAAAAACCAGAAAATCAGGTAACCATTAACACTAGGGGGAGGGAGAGTTACAATAGCTGCAATATATTGCCCACCAAGCACAATCAGAAAAAAAATTATCTTAATGTACTCAAAAAACTAGGTAACCAATTTATATTCGGTGGAAATTACAATTTCAAAAACACCATCTAAGTTTCAAGATTACCCAAGTTAAAGGAAAATAAATGCACCGAGCTGCATCAGAACTTGGTTGTACATACCAATTTTCTGAAAAACCCACCTAATGGCCCACCGACCCAAATAAGTTTCCAGACCTTTTGGATTTCTTTATTCTGAGAAAAAACTATGCACAAGTAAAAGAAAACTGTGATAATGTTATTCAAAAAGAAGCAACACCGACCCTAGCAAATTGGGAATTTTTTCAAGAGGACAACAAATACTATTCAACTGACCATAACACTAAAAACGAAAAATCAGCTAGATAAAGAACTGGAAAACTTTATGGCTAAAATGCAGCAAGCTGCATGAAGGAACAAATCAAAAGTAAGAAGATTAAGCTGAAGAACTATTCTGTCGAGATAAGAGAACAGAAGCGGCGTAAGGCGTGTGCAACGTGGGCCACCTACGGCCTCGCATCTCATAGGTTTAACGCAGCTTTCTTTGACTCATGAAAAATATTTATTTCTTTGCTTCTCACTTCTGACCTACATATTAAAGCAAAAAAAAAGTTAACTTTCAAACACTCTGTATTTTAACTTAAATAAAATAATACAACTACAAACAAATTATTATAAATAAGAAAGAAACTCCCTCAAAAAATAAATTTACAATATACGATTATTTTTACATACAATCCCAAAATGTTTGCAAAAACTTTTTTAGATGTTGAACATTGTTCGAGCTAAAGTGTCATAGTTTGGATGTGGGGGATAGTTACAGACGAGATAAAAATCTAATACTTAATTTTTCAGGAAACCCCCTCCATCTTCCTATAGTAAGATTTTTATATAAAACCGTTGCAACGCCACATCCGAACTTTGACAGTTCAGGTCCAAAAATATTTTTAGAAAAATTTTATCAAAAAATTTTGAAATTTTGTGTATGCATGTAGGAAAAATCGTAGATTTTAACTGATTCATTTAAAAAGTTCTAACTTATTTTTTTAGGAATGCCACCCCCATCTTTCTCTAGGAGATGGTAGTGGTGGTATTGGTAAGATTTCTGAAAAAAACGTTGCATTTTTCTATAATATTCGATTTCAAAATGTATACCTAATGTGTAAAGTGAATCATTTGTAAGTTGCGTTTTTATGCGTTTTTTGCGTTTTTTGTGTTTGTTTGAGTTTTTTTTGCATTTTTCTTTATGCTCTTTCCCTTTCTTTCATTTTCCCTTTTGTGTACCTTTCTTTTTTTATTTCTTTTCCAAGACCATCCACCTTTACATGATTTTTGACTTCAAAAATTATTTAGAATGGACAATTCTGTGAGTGGACGAGAGCAATGATTTCGAATCTTACGAATTATATGAAAAATTACAAACAATGATTCCAAATTTACCGCACTTCATTAAAGATGTAAAACAGCTGCTCCAATATGTAACAGAAAATAAATTTACCCAAATATTTATATTGGCTTTGGCAATTTTATCTATTGAAGCAGATATAGCATCTTAGTTGGATTCTAACAGAGTTATTAAGGAGTGACTTTATTAAGAGTAACCTTATTAAGAGTAACCTTGTGTAATAAGGGGCGGAAGGGGTAGTAAATTTCGTGACGTCACATTTCAAAATCTAATCTAAGTATTTAAACACAAAATATGAACTTTTAACGAAAAACAATTTTAATTTAATTATTAGATGTAAACTTGCAAAATATGTGACGTTAAACTAAGACGAGAGGAGTTTCATAAATGTGAACAGCTGTGACAAGGATGGTGTGGTCAAAAAATCATGAAATTCTTCTGACTTAATTCATGGATGGCCCTAAAGCTGAAAGCAGGAAATTTATGTTTCTTTAATTCTTTGTTAATTATTACTGTTTAATGTTAGTTAAAGTATAGATAAAATCCATATTCCTGCGCCACCAGAGGGCCTCGCAAAAATGTATCTTGCCCACATCAAATTTAGGTCTTGCCCCGCCACTGTAAGAGAACTGCTAGCAGAAAAAGGAAACTAAGAAAGAAATGGCAAGATCACTCAAAGACTGAGAAGAATCCTTTAACAGATACCTAGTAGGGCTAACAGATGCTAAATATAGTGATTATTCACCCTGGAAGGCAACTAAAAAGATAAAAAATTCATGTAAATACTATCCTTATATCAGACTAGCATTTAACAAATGAGTAAGAGACAATCAACAAAAAGCTGATGTGAATTAGATGAAAATCAAGACACTTTTAACGAGACGTTCCATAATATGGAACAACTTGAAATTAGGATGGTTACTCCCAATGAAAGAAATTCAACCCACAGAAATCCCCAGGATACTACCTTATTACTGGAGAAATATTAAAGAAATTGCCACGAAAGGCTATCGTTAAATTGACATATCTCAAAAGTGCAGCATTTCGCCGTAAATATATACCAGAGGCGTGGAAAGTGGCCGAAGTTATCCTAATTCCTAAGCCAGGAAAACCTTCTAATGAAGTGTCATCATTGTTACTATTACAACGACTAAAACCAATAATTGAAAATAAAATTTTGATCCCTTCGCATCATTTGGTTTTAGAAATAAACACTCGATAATAGACCAAGTATACAGGATAACCGATATCATCGAAGAAGCTTACGAGTAAAAATGTATATACTTAGCTGTATTTCTTGACCTAGCCCAATCTTTTGACAAGGTTTGTCCCGGTGGCCTGATACAGAAACTTGAAAAGTGCTCCGTAGACAATATGTCGACAAACTTTAATTATATCTAACGGGAAAAATGTTTAGAGTGACTAAGAGGAGGCATACTCCGAAATGCAAGAAACTAATGCATGTGCCTCAGAAGTCAGTGTATTAGGACCGGTTCTTTACTTATTATACAGCAGCGAGATCCCTCAACAACATTTTTTTTTAAATAGCTGCATTTGCGGATGGCACTGCAATTATGGCAGTTGGCAGAACTAATACAGAGACCTCAGAAAAAGTCCTAGATGCACTTTGGTTCTATCAAAATGAATTTATTTATAGAGTCCTGAAGATGTCAACAATAGAAGAAGACATAAAGACGTTTGCTGCGAAACATGAGTGTTGACTTCACTCCCATGTTAACGAAGAAACGCTGCAATTACTGGACAACTCTACACTCAACAGAAGGCTCAAAAGGAAGAAATCATTTGAGCTAGTGCAGTGAACGTTAATGTTAGTGCTAGTGTAAAACAGTATAATAAATCGTCACGCCAACTTATTTTGCTTTGCTTAGAAACAATTAGGACAGCCCAATGGGAACTTCTTAGATAAGTAATTAGTTCATAAGATTTTTAGATTAAAATTGTAGGCAAGTCAATAATGACTAGTAACAATACTCTAACAAAAATAAAAGTTGCATATCAACTTTAATCCAATAAAAAACGGGGAATGTTTACTGGGAACATGCGCATAACATACAAAAACCGCTGCCACTCGTCGCGCATTAATCTGTGTTTGATATGTCTAGTGGGGAGGGCAAAGGTGGAAGTCTTGTCGTTGCTTGTTGATGGCGATCTTTGTTCGCTGTTGCACCTTATTCAATTCATTGTAAGGTATATCCCAGATTTTTAAATTTTCGTACATTTAAGATTGCAGTTTATTCTGCTCTCCAACCATAGGTATCACTTAGAGCCTATTCTTACAATTGTGGAATTTAGATTATTATTTGAAATTGTAGACATATTTTCCTAAATTAATAGGCAGTCTTCTAGTGGCTATATTTCAGGATACTTTAAAGGAAAATCATAAAAAGAAACGTTAAATGTCGAACCAATACAATTTTAAAAGACAAAATATGACACAAAGTAATTTTATGTTCAACAATACGACTAATCATTGCTTTAATTTTGATTTAACACTCTCTAAAGTGATAAAAACTGTTATGTATTGTAAAATGTGACACTTTAATTGAATGTTAATTTTATTACTAATTTAATGCAAAACAAATTAAAATAAAATAATTGAATGAAACAAGAACTTCAATAATTGGAAAACCTTGTAAAGAGCTCCGTAACGTTAAAAATTACAAACTGTAATAACAACCAACCAAAATAAGAGAAATATATACTACGCAATAAATTACTAATAAAATTAGCTTTTAAATGAAGTATCACACTACAATACTTAACATTTTTTTTCCGAGAGAGGGCGCTAAAATCAAAAGTAACGCAATAATAAACAGTGATATTGCTGAATTCCCCATAAAATTACTTTTTCAACGATGGATACTTGGTACTTCCCTCTTTAAATTGCATTGTTACAGTAACGAAGAATATGGATGACGTATGACAGATGAGGTTATGATAAAAAGGTATCCTTTTAAAAATCGGCATGTTTTTGCGTTTTTTATTTTTTAAATTTCCTTCAGAATATTCTAAGATACAGCCACTATAACAGCCCATAATCAAACATTATACATACATAAGATGTTACCATCGTTTTTCAGTTTTTAAAAATTCGAACATCACAAACATATGATTGTACTTTATGACTTTTTTTGAGAAAAAAAAGTTGAAAAAAAATTAAATTTTTATTGTTATAATTTATTTTAGATTTCTCGGTGCACTTATACATATCCTGAAAGGATCCTTAGGCAGTGGTTTACTAGCGGTTCCAAGAGCATTTATGAATGCAGGACTTTTGGTTGGATTTATAGGAACAATATTTATAGGATTCATCTGTACATATACCATTCATCTTTTGGTACGTATTTAGAGATTTACCAAATTATTTAATATTATTTAATAAAGAAAAGGATACATGAAATTATTTCAGTTTCGTAATAAAATAAATTCTTCTTAATCAATAACAATTTTCTTTCGAATTTGAAAAGAATGTTGAAAGTACATTTAAATAATTTAAACCATTTTTACTGATTTCAAATATGTAAATAATCAGAGATAAGGGACATAAAGATAGAAAACGCTCATAAGAAGCTCATGCTTAATAACGACCAGCTTAAACGCAGTTAACATCTGACCCACTATGTGGCGCTTCCATCGATATCAAACAAATAACGAAGCGGGAAATGTAAAAACCTGATAAAGGTTGTATAAATATTAATCATGTTTTGGTAAATAAATTTAAACAATGCCAATTACGCTAAACTACACTTACAGTCTATTATCTATTAATTATTGTAAATCTACTCACACTGTTTTGATCGGACACTGTTTTGATCGGACACTGTTTTGATCGGACTCTATTTTGACTGGCACTATTTTAATAAGCGCTATTTGATTCAGGCGCTCTTTTGATACGCGTTATTTCAAAAGGCGCTATTTCGTGACAGAGCCAGAATCAATATCTGATTTTTGAACTTTTATTTGCCTATAGTAAGGAGATAACATTAGTTGATTAATTAGTTAGAAATCAATTATGTAAAAAAATAAATTAAAATAGATTTTGGGTGACAACCTATATTTAATTTTTATTATTTTCAAGACTGTATTCATCTAAACTCATACATGTGCGATATAATTAAACATAAAATAATTGAGTTACAAATCTTTAACTACTTTTTTACAGCATGCAAACAATAAACAGGGTAGTTAAATAGTCAGGCAACAAAGTATTTTTCTTTTGAAACAAAATAATTATTATGAAATTGAAGGGTAATGAATGAGATTTTGTTCTGCATTTTCTATTGAACGTGTCAAAGATAAGTAAGGCTTCGATCACATTAGAAGCAGGCTTGTTCAAGTAATTTGGTGGCGCAAGCGTGCACATAGAAACAAAATCGTCAAGAGAGCTACAGAAACAAGTAGTTTTCGTCCGTCGCCGCTCACACTACACGCAATAAGCAAGTGCACGCTTGTGCAAGCTTGATCCGAAACAAAAATATTTGTTTTTTAATTGCAAGCGTGCGTGCTGCGTGATCTCAGTTGATTTCTGATTCTGACCATCGAGGCAGTGATAGTGTAGTGTTGTGGAGCTCCTAATTTGTGTTTACGTGTTTATGATGGATACGGAAACGCTTTTGCCTAGTATATAATAAAAAGTGACTGGCATAAGTATTAAAACAACTTATTAGGTTATCAAAGCAAATCGTTAATTATTCGTGCATACTCTCCATCTTCCTCTCTGTCTAAAAAATACTCGTTAACCCACTCTTCCCTGATTTCCAAAAAAAGAAACTTTAAAACACAAGTTTCCAAAACAATGTCCTCATTGTCTGACATCTCCATTTTGACTGACCTGTTTATAATAATTACCTTGCACCTGCCTGCTCGCATTTAGTGTGAGCACCGAGGTGAGCACATTGCTGTTCAAGCCAGCTTGCGCACGCGCGTGCCACCAAATTACTTGCACAAGCGTGCCTCTAACGTGATCGAAGCCTTACATCAACGTGTAGCATACGGTCGCCATCTTGATTTTGTAAATAGCAATGTAGGTCGAGTAATATATTAAATTTTTGAAAAGAGGAAAAAGTAAGCTTTTCTTTTATATGAGGGAAAAACCGGATTAAAAGCGCGAGCCGTTCCTAGGCGTAGTAGCGAGTTCTCCCGCTAGCTGCGGCTAGTAGAGACCTTCTCTAATGAGTTACAGAAGCAGAATAATTGTATGTTTTTATTAGGCTCACAGAGGTCTCACAAATGCAGCGATTTTAGCAGATGTCATGACTCAGTAAATTTAGTATTCAGTCGGAAATCTTAAAACTTTTCTCGAAACTTATGTAACAGGTGTTCTTTTCTATGAAACTACCTGTTTACTCTTGGTTGAATTCAATTATCAATCTTTTTTAAAAAATTACCGACATCAGAACGACAGAAATAGCTGAAGCCGCTAATGTCTTATGCGCAGTGAATAGAAGTCTGTAGAGCTTATTTTATTTTAATGTTGGCGCATCTCGCGGCTTTTGCTATTCCTGTCGATCTGTGTTTTATTGAAATCAAAGAGATCTTAAGTATGTATGTGTACTTAAATATATGTATTAAAACGATCTAAAAGGTTTCAGCATCCAAGAAAATATGCGTAGATCTAAAAATACCCAGTCTTGGTTTTGCCGAAACAGCAGAGGCTATATTCGAAAACGGACCCAGTGGATTAAGGAGGTTTTCGAAGGCTGCAAAGTGAGTGTTTAGTAATAAAATAACATTTTACTACGATCACTATCTAAAGTAGGCCGTTGAGCTTCGAAATCTAACTGCAAAGTTGACGTTTTCTGAATTGACATTAAAGTGACAACTTTGTTGTTCGCTTATTTTAAATGAGCTATAATATAATATTATTTCTTTTAACTAAATGATTTTCAAATTATTTATACGTAGTAACATGTTTTTTTGTTATAATATCCAAGCTAAATATACTTTGATTATCAACTGTTTTTTTCATGATAACGTAGCTATAGGCAACACATTATACATTACTTACGACAAATTTTCAGTTCTTATGTCTATTTCTTAAAAAAGTGTGATCGTAGAAAAAATCTTGTACGTATTTTGAGCGAAAAGTTTGTTGCTGCTTTCGACAGATTGCCGCACTCTCCGCTATGCGTCGCGCGGGCAATTTTCTGTCTCAAGTATAACTTTTCGCTCTTAATACACAAATAGCCATTTAATATCAATACTTTAATATTTCCTATTTTATTTTTTTAATTTTATTTTTTTAATTTTATTTTAAATATGAGCCAATGATAATTATTAAACGCCAGTGCAATTTAATTACAAGACATTAATTAATTAATCGTCATTGACATCTTACATTAATTACTTTCGAAATGTTTGCCGCTCCCTCTGTTTCATCATTTGTAAATCACTCAGCATAATCTCCTTCTGCATCTTGTTACAGATTCATGTCCGTTTTTATTCTTTATTTCTTTTATATTTCGTCTTTATTTCCTGTTCCTGCACATTTTTCCCTACTCAGTGAGACCTAACATATTTTGATAGCTGATATATTATTTGATCCTCATATTTTCTCTAAGTTCTTTCTCTGTTACTGTCTTGGTGATGATTTTTGTATTTATAGCAATCCACATAAGAGCCTTAAAATACGAGGGTTGAGCTACTCCTGACCCATTTATAAATCAAAACACTTATTTTTCTTTGCATAATTGTAACCTTCTAGAGAGACACACCTCACTATCAAAATGGATCATGTCGAGAAACGAGCGTTGATTAAATACTTGTGCTTAAAAGCGATGACTCTAACGCAAATTTATTAAGATTTGGTGGATACATTAAGGAAATCTGCAGATTCATATGACATAAAGGTGGTGGCCCTGACTTTAAATGTGTTAGTCGTGTACAGACAAACAAACGCTACTACACAATAAAATGATAAAAAGGTCTATATCTCGTGCTGCAAGATCGACGTGTAACCAGTAGATAAATATTTGAAGATACTGGTCTCTTATACCATGTAGTATATAAAATACTTACTGCAGAATTGAACGTGTATGCACGAATGTTAATAGATGCACACAAGCAAACTCGAAAAAACATTTGCAATCGCCTTTTAACACGGTAAAAATAAAACAAAAAAATGTTCTTCCAAGATTATTGACAATGGATGAGTCCTGAATCTATCACTATGATGCAAATACTACAATACAGAGTGAGGAGTAGACACATCGAGGTTTACCAATGCCGAAATAAATTCAAGTTGCAACCTACAGTAAAGGTCATGGTTACCGAATTTTGGGATTCTGAAGGCATAATTTTTGTAGATTCCCTACAGAAGGGAAATGCAGTTACAGTTGCCAATTAAATTTCAAAATTACATGACGCAAGTTGCACAAAGGAGTTCTCTTGCATCAGGATAATGCACTTAGTGACAGCTCTCCAGTTGCAACAGCTGCAATCGCTCAAGCAGGATTAAAATAAATTGAGGAGCTACCATATTCTCCAGATTTAGTTCCCAGCGATTACCGACTGTTTACAAAACTTGTGTGGTAAATGATTTTCTTCAGATAGTGATATCATATGTGCGGTAAGTCAGTGGTATGCAGAGGTCGAGCAATCTGTTTTTCGAAAGACATTATAAATGATATAATATAGATACGTTGAAAATTTAAAATGAGGTATTTCCCAATTTTTTATTGTAAATGGGTCAGAGGTGGCGCAAAGGGAACAGTCCTCGTATATTTGTTATTTGATTAATCATCTAGATCTATGGAATAACCTCAATGCCAGAACTTTAAAATTAAACACAAAAAAGCTGTTATCTGATTATTATAACAGATTGTATAATCTGGATGTCTCCTTTTCCGAACGATGCCACTTTTTATCTTTTTATACGTCATTTCCAACTGGAAAAAATCCTAAAAGTTACCTACTATTAAAATTACCAATTCACATCACACGCACACTTGCCCAGCTTCGTTTAAGTAACAAATATCAGCTAAAATTCACTGTAAATAACATTTTGTACACAATAGATCCCAAAAGTATATGTACAGTGTGTAATAAGGCGGAAAACGAAACTCTTTTACATATTCTTTTTGAATGTCCGATTTACAATGTTATGAAGCCTAAAATTCAATCACTTGAAAATATAAATGCTCTTATTGCAACACTAGAAAATTTGACCATCAATGATGCTAAGTATATTTACTCATATATTTGTAACATATTAAAATTGAGATCATTTATTTTGAACGAATAATGTATTCTAGTATTCTATGATTATTTAATATATTTTTTTTTTTTTTTTACTTTACTTGTAGCTCAATTTGAATTATGTTTATGTTACTGTGACTACACTCAAACTCTTGCTGTAACTTTGTATAAGTTGATAAGCAATAAAAATTATTATTATTATTATTATTATTATATTATTTGATTCTCACATTTTTCCTAAAATCTTCTTTTGTTACTGCCTGATGGTGGTTTTAGCATCTGTTACTTTTCTTATTAGAGCTTTAGGATATCTTCTTATTATGCTACATATGCATCTTAATCTTTTTAATTTGATTATATAAGCAATGTCATCTTTCTTGTATATTGTTTCTTATTTCTTTTATCATTTCCTGGCCCATTATTTTAATTTCAAAGATTCTCAATCTTTCGACATTCGGAAGCAAACATCTTTAGTTGTTTTATTTCTACTTTCTAAATTTTTAGCTCCCTTGTTTATATTTTTGATATCTCCATTAAGCTTTGTTCATTTACTCTCTTTTCGCTTCTCTCATCTATTATCATTAGAAATAAGTCATCTGTATATGCTAGTAGCTATCACGTTATTGGTCTTCTATTTCCTGTGGCCTCAATTCTTTTCTACATAATTGTAATAAATTATGGGTGACATCGCTTTTATTACAAAACATATCTCTTCCGAATCCACATCTTCTGCTGATATTTTTAATAGTCTCTTGAATATACGAAATTAAAAAAAAAAACTAATTTACTAATATTTGAATGATCTAGCACATTTAAAGCCCAACAACAAATAAAATTAATAATATTATTAAAACATTTTATTTTTTAGACTCTTTGTGGAAATTTCACTCACCATGACACATTTTGTAGGAAATGCAGTATATGTTGTTTTTATTTCTGAATCACTTGCTAAGGTTTGTATTTGTATTATTATAACTTAATAACAAAAGTTATACAATGTTTTATTCCTTAATAAGCATTATCTATTCTATTTTTTTTTATTTTTAGCTAGTAGGATCCTTCCATCCTCCAGCTCAAGCATGGGGTCAATTTTTCAAACTCGTAATTTTAGTTCTTCTGATTTTCTTCTGTCAGATAAGGGAACTGAAGCATATAGTACCATTCTCATTTGTAGCTAATATAACAATGATTATAGCTTTAGCAATCACTGGCTATTACATGGTCAAAGAAATTATACACGTAGACCCAAGTGAAAGAAATTTAGCTACGAGTATCGCTGGTAAGACATTTTGCTGATAAAGAAACTAGGAAACATATAGAGTGTTATTAATATAATGTTATTCTCTAAATTTTCGGAAAATGTTAATTTGATAAAAATCTGTTATTAATAGAGCAATTAAATTAAAAAAATTGAGTTTCAAAAATGTACACCGAATTAAAGTTGTATAGTGCAGGGTGAATAAATGTTTGTTTGGAGAGAGGTAAAGAATAACAAATCAAATAAAATGTGTACACTTACGATAGTGATCGACACTGCGGTAAATATAGGGATTAAAATCAAAAACATTGGCTATACTCGTTCAAAAGGACTCACGCTTATTTATCGCTTTGGTGACCAAAGGTTAACCAGAAAACAACCCTCAATATCCATCTACGTAATACAGGAGCACTGAAATGTATACTTACAGTCTCTAAGAATATAATTTGGAATCTACCGCCTACTGACCTAAAGGATAAGGATAAGGATAGTCATAAAGAACTAGGCCAGTATATATACAAATATAAATGCATAAAATCCTAGACGACATGACAACCTGTCTAACATATAATTATTGACTTCTCCAGTTTGACTACAGCTGGACCAAGGTAAATCAGAAGTTAGGTAAATTCTTGCTCATGGTGTATGAATGGATTCAAAATAAACAAGGACCGAGGCTTTGGGGTATATAAAAATAAAGCTAAATGCGATATTGCCTCTTGGTTTTAACAACATGTCATTGTAATATTTTATATCGAAATTCATTTAATTAAAATGTGTGTTAGAGAAAATCTAAGAAGGAAGTAGGTACAAATAAACTATCCTTATTCTCACAAAGCAACTCTAAAGGCTCTTGGTTTAATTCAAACAGTTTCTAGTCAATGCTAGTTTGGGACTGGCTTAATTCAATTAATGAGCTGATAATCTCTGCAATAAGGCAAAATTAGTATAAATAGGACAAAAGCGTGTTCAGAGAACTACTGAACTGCTTACTTCTTCACCGGATTTATGTCATAGAAGAAGAAACTGCACACCACATTATTTTCGAATATGAAATTATAAGTAAATGATTACATAAACTTTTCGCTCTAGGAGAGCAAAGAGCAGAAGAGCTCGCATCGCTGAAATACTAGGTAAGCAGTAAAACTCTCCAAAAACGCAGGACTATTTATAATTGGTACCTGCACGCAGACAAAGCAAGAAGCTTATCCAGAACCAAGAGGCTATACCGGCCGCAGTGCATTTAAAGCTATTGTCTATCAAAGTTATCAAAAGGTTATTTCACTGGGTAAATTATTTGTGAGCTACGATTATTGTAATGTTTTTGATGCTAGGAGGTGCTTTAAGTGCTGTCGTTTCTGTCACATAGAGAAAAATTTTAAATTATATGTTTATATTTGTCCATTATATGCCCAAAATCATAAACATACGCAATGTCATAAACCCAGCAATAAGTATTGCATAAACTGCCATAATTTTAACAAAACTGCCATGAATCCGATTCCAGTAAATCCTGTTTTGCAATATAATGTCTTTTATATAAAAAACATTTAATAAATTTATATCCAATAGTCTTTCGAGTAGCAACCAAAACAGGCACATCCTGTTTCAAATAATAATGCAAGTAAATGTACTGTATTTATTTTTATAGGACTGTTCGTGGCAACCGTACGAAGACTCGAGATCTTTATTTTAATTCATCTGCAACCTCTCAATATGATATTATTACGCTCACTGAGACCTGGACAAACGACTCGGAACTATTTAAATCAAACTTTTACAATATTTACGGAACTGATAGAAAATTCCATAAAATATCTGCGACATTAGGTGGAGGTAGCTTAATTGCTGTAAAAAAACAATTTTCGTCAAACGTCTTTGACACCAAACATATTTTTGAACTTCTTATATCTATTGATGTAACATTTACAAAATCAAATTAGCTAAAGCAAATGTTCTCACATCTGCTGATGAATATGAACTTTTTGTCGATATTATCATGTCTATACACTTGGTCTACGACCAAAATATTATAATTGTTGGCGATTTTAATGTATGAAAAATATTTGTTTAATGAATTTTATGAACTTTTTTAATATTTCCCAAAATAATACAATACTAAACTGTAATAACAGAATTCATGACCGCGTCTCTGAAACATCTGAACTCTTTCGACTACATCCTCAACATCCTGCTCTTGCTGTTAATATGTCCATTTAGACTACTGTAAAGATATTAACACCATCATGTCTTAAAAAATATAATTTTAAGAAAGCTCATTTTCCCAGTTTATATCAAGATCTTCTCACAATTGATTGGACCCACCTACATCAGTTGGGCGGTGTAGATGAAGCAATTAACACTTTTAACGAGATAAAAACGTTCTGTTAAAAATACCACTGAAAAACCATTATCCTTACTGGTTCAACTCTGAATATTACATCCAATTTAGTAATCTAATGCTAAAGTTAAGTCTCCGTCTGATTCTGCTTACAAAAACTATTTAAGGATGCCACAACACTTCCGGTTTTTGATAACATGATTTGAATTTGAATTTTAGTTGATCCTTTCCTACGTAGATGTAGCTACACTCTTTAACTTCCATATTTTGTCCATGATATCGCAAAAGTCGTTCAGCAAAGTAATATACACAATCATACTTTTATTTTATGTTCTCTGTTAAGTTGGTCTGGTGAAAAATATTTGTCAACACTGCGCGTATTTATTGATATCTATCGATAAGCAATCTACTAATTGTTTAGCAAGGTTTTTCTCGTTTATCAGGAATTAAATATTTAGCTATCTAATTAGGATCGCAGGTACTTACTTAAGATAAATACTTATCGTAAGAATATAATAGTGGCACTGACCCCTCATAATCTATTATAAATAGGTAGGTATATTTACCCCAATTTGCAAATAAAGGTTGAAATAATACATTTTTGGTTATGAATTTGTGCAATAAAAATATTGATATATCTAACAAATACGTTTAAATTACTTTTCTTTATTCTCCCAAATATTTTCGCAGTTTTTTGTAATCACGAGAAGGGATAAAAATTCACACATTTTTTAATTTATTTATTATAATAGCAAAATGATTATGCTCAATCAAATGTATAAAAAGCAAGTTAATAAAAAAAGTTGGAAAAATCAAATGAAAATTAATGAGAAATTTAGCAGCTATCGTCAAATTAGGCACTAAGAGAAAATTTTTTGATAATCTCGTTTTACAAATTTTGTCCTCACAGTACTGTTTAATTTAAAAATTAATATTTTGGAGTCAAACAATTATTTATTTTTATTGAGATTAGCATTGTGATTAATTCGCACAAAATTTGTATTTCAATTTTCAATATGGTCAAGTTGTCTCCTGAAGGGATATTTTTGGTAAACAACTAATTTACCTAACCTGTGCGGCCTGGAGCCGTAGAGGATTGCTTCGCAAAAAAAATTGCGCACGCTGGAGCAATTTAATTTTAACTTTTATAAAAAACTTAACTAACTTACCGATTTAAATTTAACTTTAACAAGTTAGGTAAGTTAGTTAAGTTTTTTAATCTTTTGTATATTTTTGCGAAACAACCAGGGAACACTCTATGCTACAAATGTTAGGTCAATTAGTGAGTTTTTATTTTTTATAATTTTATTTATTTGGTTGTTCGTTCAATTGCTTTTTTTAGTAAATCTATTTTCGATCAATTTCTATATTTAAGTACATAAAGTGTTTATTCAAAGGATTACTGTTGGATTGATACGAAATTACATTTGATTGAATTTAAATTGTTTTTAGGAATACCCTCCTTCTTTAGCACGGTCGTGTTTGCTATGGAAGGCATAGGTACTATAATGCCGGTGGAGAATTCAATGATTGAAGATAGATTTGTAGGATGTCCCGGAGTATTGAACATTTCCATGATTTTAGTGGTAACTTTTTATACCATTATTGGATTCTGTGGATACTACGCCTTTGGAGACATGACTCATGCTACAATTACCCAAAATTTGCCTGATGGAGAAGTGTAAGTAAAAAAAATGGTATACAGATATGGAATTTTTGACTTGAAACGAATACGTTAACAATGTGTTGAATAAGGTTTAACAGGAACATGTACATAACAGAAAGAAATTGCTTTTAGCTAGCATCCATACGACGTGGACTTCGACTTTTGATCGCCCCACTTAATACATCAAACTCAGCTTTATGTGTGATGGGTGACAGCGATCTTAGTCTGATATGTACATGTTCCTATTATACCTTCTTTAACTTATAGAAATATATACGTTACGTATCTGTTTTATTTGTTTTATATTATTGAGCATTAATGCTTTATTTACAGCTGGGCATTATTGTTTTAGGTTAGCACAAGTAGTTCAAGCATCAATATCCTTAGCCATCTTTTTCACATTTATGCTGCAATATTACGTTCCAATCGACATCACCTGGAGAAGATTGGAACCTTATATTCCTAAAGACAAACAAAACATCGTGCAAATCTTATGGCGAATACTCACAGTGTCATTTATTGTGGGAGTTGCAGCAGCGGCAGGTGACCATTTGGGACCCTTAATTGATCTCCTAGGAGCAGTATTCTTTTCAACTTTAGGACTATTTATTCCTACCTTCTTGGATATCATTGTCCATTGGAAGAAATGGGGCAAATTCAACTGGATTTTAGTTAAAGATTTACTTTTAATATTCTTCTTTTTATTCGGTTTGAGCTCTGGTACTTACTACGCAGTGCTTAATTTTATAAAATAGTAGGATACATATTAGTTTCTAACGTGTGTAATTATTGTTCTATAACGTTGACAAATCTAATTTTTGTTTTAATAAATTAGAATTTTTAGCCCAATCTTAATATATTACTTTTCAACACTGGCTGTAAAGATTATACATAATCTACACAGTTTTTGTTTAAATATAATTAATTTTCTCATATTATTTTATTAATTGATTTATCAATACTCATGTATTTATTATAGGCTTTAAATGCATTTTTTAGCACTGTCAAACGCCAAGAATTTTTTTACAATTTGTAGGAAGCAAATGAAAAAATATTTAAATCAAAGTGATATACTACAAATTAATGCTTAAAATCCAAAACGTCCATTTATTTTGTTTTAAAACTTATATGCATTTTCAAAGAAATATAATTAATATTATTTTGTATTTAAATGATGCCGTGATTCTTTTATATTAGCATGGTCTTTTTAAGAAAAATAAAATCTTTGATCCAAACCAATACCACAGCTTATACAATACAGCTAAAACACTCTCTTGGCGGCAACGGTTTGCGTCGATTTCGTCGCGCATTGCTTAAGCTCCGCCTTCGAAGGGAAAAGACGGTTTTGGCGTTCAGAAGTGTACTTAGGTAAGGTGTTGAGTCGTGCGTATAATTTCGTTGATTGTATAATTTCGTGGAGCCTATAATTTCGTAGATTTTGTTTGAGTTAAAGGTACTGTTATTATTTTGGTGACTCTTTAGCTGTGAGTAGAATGAATGAAAAAAAAGACATCATTCTGTTTGTGCAGTCAAAAGCTGTTTTAATAAGGGTTATACCTGCAAGAAAACATTCTTTAGTTTTCCCAAGGGCCCAAACCGATAAGTACCACATTATAAGAAATTTTCATTGTTAAAAATATAATTTATACAGGGTGTCCCATTAGTGCGTTATTGTTCATTATTTTGTTGTAGACACGCAAGAAAGTTTTAAATAAAAGTTATATGGATTTGAAAAATACCTACATATTTTAAAAATATCTTTGGATATACAGGGTGTCACGTTTTTGCCTGGCAAATTAAAATGTATGTTTTTTAAATGGAACACCTTGTATTTTATTTTATGATGAAATTATTAACACCCTAAATTATTGTAAAGACGAATTGCTACAGAAAATTTTTATCAGGTATGTGTGTGGTTACCTTTTAATAAAAGCCTTGCGGATCCACTCCTGCGATACCTGTCTTAAATATAACAAAGATCACGTTGAAATAGATGATTTTTCTTTTTATTGCTTTTTAAAGGCATATGATAACGCCAATTCAGATACATTTGGAAATCTGCAACTGTCAAATGATGAATTTGTAGAACTAATATTCAATATTGAAAAAAAAGATATTTCAAAATAATTTTGAAGAATTGGCTACAAAAAATAACATTTGTACCACACTTTTAGAATTAATTAACCCAATACCCTTTAGTCATCCATGCTAACGTTTTCCAAAAGAATAACTTATTTTATTGTATGTTTAATCTCAATAACTAAAAAATATACTGACAATTAGTTTGACAGAATTGTCATTTATTTAAAATTTTAAAAATAATAGCAGTCGGTTGATCAAAATATAAACGGTGATTGGCGAATTTATTTTTTTTTGCAGTGTTCTCACTACCTAGAATGGATATGAAATATATTCGTTCAATTGAAGGCAATAGCATACTTTTTCGTTTTGTAATCTGTGCATGGATATTAGCCAATCTACGCACATACTACAAAACGAAAAAGTATGTTATTGTGTTCAACTACGAATATATTTCATATCCATTTTAGGTAGTAAGAACACTTTAACAAAATTAAATCTACAAATCACAGTTCATATTTTGGTCACCCAACTCCTATTATTTAAAATTTTTTAAATAAGTGACAATTCTGTTAAACTAATTGTCAATATATATTTTAGTTATTGATATTAAATATACATTAAAATTTTTGTGCAGACTCGATAAATAATAGCATTTTTGTTTCTATTGTGTCCACATTAAAAAAAAAAAATAAATTTTAATTAAACTACATGATACTAATTTAATTACGAGTATTAAAACTAAAGTCCTGAAAGTTTTGGTGAAGATGAAGACAGAGCATCTGCCTTCCACGCGAAAAGTCCGGGATAGAATCTAGGCCGAGGACTAATTAATTTTTCATGTTTATTTTATTTTATAAATTAGTCAACTTCGTAAATTATTTTAAAATTAGTTATTTTGTCTAAATAACCTAAAATAATTTTTTAAATTTGTAGATTTTCGTTAGTGGGTCGTAGAAAAAATATACTGACCATATCGAGTAGATTGTTCATATCACAATCAGACGATTGAGTTCTCCGCCTACGACGTCGTGCTCAAACTTCGTCTTTGTGTGATATGGCTATCATATCCACCCTTGTTGAACAAACTACAATTTATTTGTTTTCTTGGTTTAAGTTTTACATCAGAAATAGGAATTAAATTAATTTACTTTTCAAGTTTTCTTGTAAAAATCGATATTACTTTCTCCAAGTACAAATTTAGTACCTACCTAAAATAAGTACTAATTATGTTATATCTTGTAATATTGTAATTCAAATTTCACATTACTATAAAGTTTTAAAATTTCCTACTTCGGTATGGTCAGATAAAAATTGAATATATTATATTAATAAAAACTGTCAAAGTATAACTTCTACAAATCTGTATTTCAAATAATAAGAATACATCTAAATATAACCAATATTGTTAAAACAAAAGCACACATTCTTTATAATTCCAAAATACCATAGAGTTCCCAGACCTCAGTCGAAGCATTCGTTTATCTAGGTATAAACCCTTTGCGCGAAGAGTAACACTTGCCAGAGACACGGGGGTACCACTTGATTTGCATCCACGAGCGTGACACAATTCTTTAACAATTGAAGCCCTTGGTATAAAATGGATCCAAGCCACAATTTGTCGTGAAGTGACTGTTTTAGCTCAAAACATTTGTTAACGAGGATTTTACTAGCCATATATAAATTATTTTACCTCTAATCCGAAAGATGTGCTATTTTTCGTAATATTTATATTTAAATAATTTTTTAATTATATTTGAAAGATTTAAAACAAATTAAAAATGTAATTTCCCAAAACTTACTTAATATGGCATGTGACCAACCTTATTACGCCAAGGTTTTCAATTTTTTCAATAATAAAAAAATTGTTTAATCCGGGCCCGACTTTTTCCTCGAATCTAACAGAGATAGCACCATTCCGTCTTGCTTGGTTCTCGACCGCCAGATCAAAGACGCCGACACGGAGTTGTGGAGCTGTATTGTATAAGCTGTGCCAATACCTCCTAGTGAGCTCAACATCCTAAAGTTGGATCGTAAATTCTGTAAACTCTGTTTCAACGATTCTAAAACATATTCCCAATTACTCTCAAATAAACCTCACTCCAGCCAGTATCATGCATTTATGTGCAATCTGACAAAAATTCCTTTAAATTATCTCTCTAGATATGATTTGGCTTATGTCATCTATTGCGCCTGCACTGATATATTGGGATATCAGATAAACAAAAGAAATAGATAGGTATCGGGTGATCTTTAACATGAACTTTGTTTAAAGCTAAGATAAACAAGAGTTTGACAGTTTGGTTCTCCAGTAGTATTTTCATCAGACTCCAAAGGTTTGTTCTTTTAAATATTTTGTAAAGGATAGATTTAAATAAAAATGCAATTCAGACGTAAAATAAGTTCATATTTTTTTTATTTGAAGGTAATAAACTAAATTTAAAAAATAAGTTAGACAAATATACTTGTAGGATACTGTTGATCTAGGAAGATTACGATAAGAATTAATAATTTTGTCAATCTATCTGCATTGTGTAATGTATTATCATGAATTCCTACCTTTTTGGAAGACTTGTTTGATAAATAGATATCTTCTAGACTCGTCTTCTGCTTTTCACATTTTAATAGAAAGCAGAATAGTCTCTATATTTTCCTTAAAAAGAATAACTTTTAAAATCATTTAATAAAGACTTTAATATTTAATAATTAAATATTTTGTATAAATTTATCTTAGCTTTTTTTTTAAGCCAGCGTTTCTCAAACTGTGGGTCGCGCCCTCCTGGGAGTGCTATAACTCTACGTGGGGACGCCAGTACATTAAAATGAAAAAAAAACTATAATTACTAATAACGAAAGTTTAATTCACAGAAAGAAAAACAAGTACAGTACACGTTTAAACTAATATACTAAGTATTTAATTATTATAAATATGATTGTATCAGTAGGTACTGTCAAATGCCAAATTAATAATAAACTTATCAGTACTTATCAGTATCTTTAATAATTATTAGTGACTCCTTTGGGCCTGTCTCGAACAGCAAAATTTTTTAAAAGAACGTTTTATATTACAAATAGCCACTTTCAGTTCTTTGTCTATATTCAGTTGAGATCTATATTTTGTCTTTAAAGCAGCCACCACAGAAAATCCGGCTTCGCAAAGGTAGGACAATGATATACGAAATTCTCTTGTTTTCAGTGGCGAAAAGGCATCATCCACTCCCTCCCAAAATTCAAAGAGATATTTATTACTAAATTCTCTTTTGATTTTGTTGCTTGCCGTAAAATCTATGAAGATTTCTTCTTCTGCAGTTGAAAGACCTTCAGGAGCAGTTCGAAATGGATCCCTAACCCACTCGTAACTTACTATCAAGTTGTCGTCAGAAAGAAAGTACTTTTTAAAATTCTGTGCCAACATAGCTAAATGACTTTTTATTGTTTTAAAAACAACTTTCACATACCATTCTTCTTCCTTTTATGTTTTGACACACTCATTAACATTTGCAAACATTTCTAGTTTTTTTTTGTTTCACATTTCTGCTCCACAGCTCCAACTTTCTACAAAAATCACTAACTTTATTACTGGTATCCAACATATGTGTATTTGCTCCTTGTAATTATAGATTAAGGGTATTTAATTTCCTGAGTATGTCAACCAAGTAACTCAATTTTATTACAAATAAAGCATCTCGAAACTGTTCGGCTTCCGGTCAATTTTCCTCTTTAGAAAAGTTGCAATTTCTTCTTTTAACTCATAAACACATAAAAATTTCATACGCGACAACATGGCCTCACAATAAAATAGCCACGTCGAATGTTCTGCACCTTTATCTTTGCAAAGTGCATTAAAGATTCTTTATTTTAAGGGTCTTATTTTTAAATAATTTAGGTACTACAGTTACAACCGTCGTTAGTACAATGTTGAGACCAGGACTCATTTCTTTGGAATCCAGAGCCTCTCTGTGGATCATGCAATGGGTCCAGACACATTGCGAGCATTTTTGTTTCACAAGTGCTTGTACACTTTGGAATCTTTCAGACATTGTACGAGCACCATTGGTGCATATTCCAACGCAATTCTTCCACTCAATGTTTGCCTAATTAATTTAAAATATCAAACAAAGCGAGTGCTGTTGCTTTGAGTTCTACAGGTTTGCAGAAAAGTAGTTCTTCTACTATGTATTGCAATTGTTTGGCAAAATTATCTCCAAACAGTATCTACAATCTCCATCGTAGCTCGCGGAATAAGGTCTTCACCAATGGTCTCAGCCTTTTTACATCTGGCTATTTTATATGATACTTTGTAAGAGGCAAGTAAAACTTTTTGATTGACAAAGTTTTTTTGAAGAATGATGTTTTGCTTTTCATATGACTTTAATTTTAATTCAAAGAATTTTCGGGGCTTGTTAACGTACTCACTATGAAATATTTCTAAATGGCTTCTAAATTTATTAGATTTCATGGTGTCTGCTGACAAAATTTTTAAACAAATGACGCACATAAGTCTTTTTTTCTTCATTTATTTTAGACGTGGTAAATCAAAAAATTAAGGTATTTTTGCGAATATTTTCTTGATTTTATCTTCGAAACCATGGTCTACTGTGGACATGTTGATGCTTCACAATTATCTAATACTCGCTAACGTCCAGTTAAAATTCTATTTATAGTTCTGTATAAATTTACTACCGTCAAATTTACGTAAATAACTTATTCGTAAATACGGTACAGTTACACAAAACTTACAAAATTTTACTAAAACTGACCAGAATCTGTAACAGCAGTAGCATTTATATACGCTTGCTCCGTTGTCGAGCATATCTTCCATACTATTCCAAATAGTGATGGCGAACGAATACTAGAACTGATTCCAGGATCTGATCAGTGATACACGGATCATGTATCTTTTCCTAAAATTAAAAGCGAATAGTTCAAAAACTAGTATGCATACAAAATATTTCTTTTCATTGTACATTGGTATGCGTTGGGATCCGACTGTAGGTGTAGGTACTAACTAGTCTAGTTAAATTACTTTTAAATTAGAGACCATTCAGATTAAGATTTTCGTTTGCCGTTCCAATATAGTGTTAAATTATTAATTTTACATGTTATTTATTATACTTATGTAAAATATGTTCCATTAATTTTATTTAGAAAGTCTCTACTCTGTGTAGCGTTCTTTCACTTCGCTGATTGCATTGGGATTGGTATCAGGAACTGATCCTGGGATTAAGTATTTAAATATATGAGATCAACTTCAAACTGATCCGTAAAAAAATCGGGATCAACCATCACTAATTCCAAACAAATCTTCCCGTAGCGTCGGTAAGCCTCGAGAATGTTCGATATTCGTCTTAAATGACAGTGAGCAGATGAGAAACATCGATTCTGGGATTTACACTTTACTTATATGGGATGTAGCGAAGCGGCTATTCTCGGCTATTTTGAAGGTTTGTAATTAAGTTCTATATTAGGGCTTTAGGCCTAGAGTCTAGGGTCTAGGGCACTAACAACACGCTGCACTAAGGGGATTAGGGTCAAAATTTTCAACGTTGAATATACGTCGCATTTAGGGTTACCAGGTTTTTGAAAGAGATGACGGACAGACAGGGGATTTTAGGGGAAATAGGGGGAAGTAAAAACAACTCAGTCTATTTTTACTCTTTTAATCAAAATTACTTATTTTGCAAGAAATCCTTACCTAATTTTGGTAAAGATACACTGAGGTGTTTTTACAAATAATAGGGTGAATGTAAAGTTAGAAAATCGAGAAATCGCAAATCGAAATCCAAAGTCAGAAACATTTTCACCTTATTTTTTGTAAAAACACCTCAGTCTATCTTTTCCAAAAATTAGGTACGGATTTTTTACAAAATAAGTAATTTTGATTAAAAAAATGAAAATAGAGTTATTTTTACTTCCCCCTATTTCCCCTAAAATCCCCTGTCTGTCCGTCATCTCTTTCAAAAAAGGTAACCCTGGACTTTTATTTTATTTTTATAAGAAAAAGGAAGGTAGGGGCGGCATAGAAATTATTATTGAAAATTAGGCCCCGAATACTGAAAGGTTAAGAAACGCTGATTTAAATTTTAAAATGTGATTTATATTATTCGTATAAAAAAAACACCACAAACTCCGTAAACTTTAAAAAGACAAGTTGTGAATATAAAATGACAAGAAATTTCCAAAAAAAAAAGTTAATTGACAATTTTGGCTAAATTTTCCTCAACAATTTAATATAGACGAAAAACATCAAAGAACGGGAAGAAGAGAGAAGCAAACCCTCGCCGTTATCTCTCTATTTCTTTTGTGTATGTTAGATTAAGATTCCTATTTATACAATCTGTTCTAGATTAATGTAATACAGCAAATAGTTATGTATCTATTCTATTATTCATTTTGACAGAAATTTATCTGAAAGGTCATATTTACGTACTTGTATTGTATTGTATTGTATATAATATAATGCCTAACTACTTATCTTTCGGCGGCATCTTTTGAACTTCAAAAGTCAAATGACTCGAGGTCAACATTTGCGTTTGGCGCGAAAAGAAGTAGGAATTAGAATACGCTAGTTCAGTGATGATGTAATTATGATTCCACTGATAATTAAAGTGACAGTAGATTTTTTGAGTGCGTTTTGTTCGTTTTGTTTACCTAAATTATATCGTTTTTTTACTTTTATAAATATATTCCTAAAGTAAATAGATAACATGCATCAAATATACAATCGTTTAGTTACCAATTACATACCTTTAAACTATTTTTTATGACCTGGAAACAATATTTAGAAACAAACTAAAAACAGTAAAAACGTATATGTCAAATTTATTGATGTTTTTGTTAAAAGTTTGGTTAGAATTAAATGTCAGTGGAACCAAAATGACATTACACTGAATTAGCGTATTCCGAATCTGTTACAGCTATTGATATATCAGCGCCGTGTTACATTTATCAATTTTGTATTGGGAGATAGTAGGAGTAAAAGTATATACAAATATCATGATGATATAAATATTTAATAAAAAATAAAACAAACACTACAACTATTGAATTATTCATTTTTGCTTACAAGAACAACAAATATTAAATTGGAAATTGAGAACAAGAACAAATTAATTTGTTTAAAAATATGTTCAAGTTTTTGGCATAAATTGTTTTGTGTGCATAGTTGCTAGAAATTTTTTTGAAACAGAATTTTCAAAGGCGTGATAAACAGAACAAAATCAGTATAAGGCAGGGCCGTAGCCAGAACCAAATTTTAAGGAATTCTGAAATTTGAAGTAGGAAACCACGTTATTTCGGTCGAGGGTAGGTAGTAGGAGATAGGTGAAGAGGGGATCAAAAATTATTCGCAAAATAAGCTTGTATTTCGCATTATAATATTTCTGTAATGAACTAACTCAGGTTTTCAAATACACTTAAAAATTTGTAAATCGATAAAACTAAAAGAAAAACGAAAAGACAATAAAAAAATTTAGTATCATTGGAGCATTGGATTTGCCTCATTGTGAATTTTTCATAGCACTTTCAACGATATATATTTCCCCTTTTCTTTAAATGCAAGAAACGTAAGTGTTGTTTCACTTGCGATTTATGGTCAGTGCTGACGTTCCGGATGAACTGATCATCACCTCATCAGTCAACTAGCTGGCGTTTACATGCACTCGTATGATCAGTAACCCGTAAAAAAAATGTATTTGCAAAACGCAGAAAAACGCGGTGGATTAAAAAAATTATCAGATCAATGAAAAAAGAAAGTTTCGATAATTGGTTTTCATCCAATTATCAAATCTTTAAGAACATCAAAAAACAAAAATGTACAGTAGAACCTCGATTATCCGGGAAATCCGGGACCGAGCCTTAGCCGGATAATCGAAAACACGTATAATCCAAAAACCTCATTTTTAATTTTTTAATAATTTATTTAGACAAAGGAACAAAAGAAACGTAATCATGTAACAAAAATAAAAGTTTTAATATTTATACATAACGAAAGAACGTACATTAAATGTACAATACATATGATATCTGGTTCAAAATTTATTTAGTGACGTATTTTTTGTTGTCAAAATTGATTAATCAACGTTTGATGGGTCATGATATTCGAATTAAAAATTGTTTAAGAAAAACAAAATATTTTGAAAAAAGAAATGTCAAACGGGAATTAAAACATTTTTGAGGGTTTTCCAACTAGATATGTAAATAAAAGAAAGGTTTTTGTATTAAAATTTATGTTGGATTATTAAATGTTAACATATAGAAGACAATAAAAAGAAGAAAAAACAATGTCAAATTTGCAGTCCCACTGAAGGGATCTGGGATCTCTGGCCTGGGGGATCGGGTAGAAGGAATAGTAGTAGGTATCTGAAACGATGTTACTGACCTAGCATTTGCCTATCGCTATGAAAAAAAAACCTC